GAGTGTAGCGCCATCATTGGCCATTGCTCCGCAAGCTACGTACACTCTCCTCCTATGGCAGTGTCATCAATCTATGCGCCCGGTACTAAAGTTGCACACAACTGATGACTCACTAAGAGCATCTCCAACTGCCCTATTTTAAGACATCAAAAAACTGTTTGGAGTAAAATTTACAACACCAAAAAAACGGTTTACAGGGCGCCAACAACTACCCTAAAATAGGGCAATTCCAAAGATGCAAACATTTTCTTTTAAGCATACATTGCATAGTCCATGCCAAACATTTTAACATTACAATGATTAAAATCAGATAAACATAAAGATTACCCTACTACTTGATTCCTAAACATCACTACTCATCCGATTTATAGTTGGTGTCGATAGAGGTACAAAGTGTCATGGTCTCCTCATGAGAGGAGTCCAACTCCTCCACCTCCCCCTCCTTGTCCTCCTCATCTGACTCGAGGTTGATCACCATCGAGGGGGCAACCTCGTCATCCTTCTTGACCTCCAACTTCTTCTCATGGTCTCACTTCCAGAAGAATTCCGCCTCGTACTAGACGTACTATGGATTCTCCCTCGCGAACCTCGTCATAGCCTCCGCATCACTCTCGCCAGGAAATATACCTATCTCGATCTCCTCCTCCTTCTTCACCTCATTGCAGGACACAATGGTCACCGCCGGACCGACGAACTCTGCATCCTCCCGCGATGCAATATTTGGAAATTTCATATCCTTTCGCGATTGCCCGAACCGCCAAGCGGCTATGTTTTGGCTCGCGTGGTGAGCTTGGTCATATTGAACATGCCGAGCTAGTAATGAGGACTGTCACATTGAACTTCCATGGAGAAACGGCCGAAGTCCCACTGCCACACCCCCTTGAAGCCCGACTTGTTCTTCGACTTGAGATTCGGCAGCATGGCGGCGACGCGGGTGCGACAACAAGGATGACGGTGGAGTGCGGCGAGGCGCTGTGGCTACAGTGGTGGCGGCCGAATTCGGCCGGTGCAGCTGCAACAACGGTGTGGACGTGGTGCAGCGTCGGGATGGGTACGGGTGGCGCCCGAATCGATCGATGTGCTGCGGCGGCAGCGCGGAGGTGGCACGCGGAATGGGGTCATGCAGCAGGCAGCGATGATACGAAAGGGCAGATTTGGAGGCGGCGGCGTGGAGGTGGTGTGGCCGTCATATGGGGATGTGGGAAAACTTCAGTGTGACGGTCTACTCGCGTCGCTGCTTTTTGTTTTGCGGCAACAACCCAAGTGGTGCAAATTTGTAATACTTAGTGTTGTATTTTGCAGCTACCCTAAACTTGTAGTAAAAAAAATCTACAGATACGGATGTAGTTGGAGGCCTATGTTTACCCTTTTTTTGCCTAAAAAATGGTGAAGCCCTAAAATAGGGCAGTTATTGCAGATGCTTTAACAGATGAAAATCACATTAACTTTTCTTGGTAAAGGAAATCACATTAACTAACACGTACATACCGTACCAGCACAACAACGCAAACGTATCGCCATGGCCTACACCCCCGTGAAGGGAGCAAGTGACCGGTTGTATACCCCGAGGAGGTGGTGGGCTGGTGGCGGTGGTTGTCGTCGAACCTAAGCAGCAGTGGCCTCCCATGATCTACTTTTCTTCGCCGGTCATGGTGGCCGGAAATGTATCGGCTTCGTTGTCCTGCTGCTGGGACACGACCGACACAGATTTGGCAACGCCGTTGTTGGTGCCCCAGTCAAATTACTGCGCCGCCGCATCAACGTCCGTGAACATGGCTTCTTTCTTTGCCTGCCAAACGTGTTGCCACCATTGCTTAGGGTGGATGTGAGGCGCCAGCAGGAGAGGTGTTTAATGCCGGACGACACAGGAATGTACGTGTGTTTCTCGGGGCACCGGAGTAGGTTCCTCGGCACACACGCCGGTTTAATGGAGGTAGGTGGGCAGACAGATGTCGTTTCAATGCGGAGAGGAGGCGTGCGCAGCGGGCGTGTAGTGGACATCCCTCTCGGCAGGCGAGCCGCTTCAATGCCGGTTCCAGTGAGCGGTCGCATCCGCTCTGGGCCGGCATGAATGCGGAGCTCACGCTCGAGCC